AACTTTGGAAGAAAAGGCAAAAACCCATCACTTCTGTGCAAGGCAGGCCCTGGAAAACGGTGCTGGTCAGGGGGTGCCTGGGCTGTCCCGGTCTGTGCTGGGCATGAGCCACTGCCCAGCGCTAGTCGTGCTGGCTGACGTGCCGTGGGGACACGCAGCCACGGGCAGGGCCCTGGGACCGAGCCAGGCCTCGGGCCGCCCTGCTGCACCCTGACCCCCGCGCAGGCTGCACCGGGGGTGTCACCCTCTGCCAGGCCTGGCAGAGGGCTGGGGACACCCGCTGGGACAGGCGGTATCAGGGACCATCTGCATGGAGCTGATGATGATGTGGGGCAGGTGGGATGTGCTGGGAGCAGAGATGAGGTGCCTGGGGCGCTTCAGGAGTGGAATGAGGTGCCTGGGATGCTGCAGGAGTGGGGATGGGGCACCCAGGCCCCTGCAGTGGTGGGCAAGAGCAGAGGGGCAGCAGCGTGGGCAGCTCCCCCCTCTGGGTCAGGCTGCTCCAGGGATGCAGGTCCCAGCACCGAGTGCAGCTCCCCTGGTTTTGTCGTCTTTCTTTTTAATAACGGGCTCATTTTCCCCTGCCTCGTGGAGAGCACGCCTTCCCTCCACACTGGGAGAGGGGGAGGGGGGCGTGTGTGTGTGTGTTATAAATTTCCTATTTTTCTGATAAAACTGTATCGCTACGGCGGAAATCAAATCCCGTCTTCGATATTTTTAGCATGAAAGCGTGAAGGAGCACTGATGCTGAGGGAAGGGAGGACGGGCGGGTGCTGGCAGAGGGGAGGGTCTCCATGGAAACTGTTTTCTTTAAATTCCCACATTCGGGGCACTGAGCGTGTAGGAGGTGATGAAGGAAATGAAAAAGCAAAAAAAAAGAGAGAAGCTTTTTTCCTTTCTGTTGTCACAAAACTGCTATAGGAACCTTAGGAGAAATGGGCATAAATTATTGATCATTTCAATGTGAATACATGTGCATTTTAATTAATATTCACCCTGTCGTGTGTCTTGAGAGCAGGGGTGGGGGGATGAGCCAGCAGCAGCCCATGACTGACCAGCCTGTGCTGGAGGGACCCAAGTTCCTGGAAGGTCATTGTGGGAAGGTTCTGAGGCTGCTCTGTGCCCCTGAATTGTCGCCTCTTCAAGACTCCTCCATCTTACCCTGGGAATGTTCTCTGGTGCAAGGCGAGACCGTTGGTCCTGCCCAGAGCCAGCGCCCAGCCCGCGGGTCCTGGGGGTGACGCTCTGGGTTTTGCTTCGGGTTCAATACTTCTGCTCAGAGAGGGGTTTTTTAATTGTTAGGGGGTTTTTAAGGTATGGAAGTGTGTTGTTAGCCAGGCTCTGTTATTATCCTTTGAAATCCTGACGGTGGGCATGAGCATCCCCCTTCCCCGCGGAGCCCGGGGGTCCCGGTGGTGCCTGGACCCGGCGCTCTGGCGGTACCTCTGCTGACAAGGTGGTGCATTAGGGAGCCGGTGCTGCCTGAAAAATGTCTCACTGCATCACAGAAAGTTATTTTTAATTCATTGAAAAGTGAATGACCTAAAACCAGCAGCTGGGATGGAGAAAATTAAATAGTGCAAAACATACATTTTCAAAGGGAAAAGTGCCACTTAGTGCGAGGTGCAGGTTAACGCTGCCTGGCTGCGGCCGCTGAGGCTCCTCGGCTGCTGCTGCAGCTTCTGCACCCGCACGTTCTCTGCCTGACCCTCGGCTGGTGCAGGAGTGAAAGCCTCTGCGTGAGCTGGGGCTTTGCTCAAGCTGCCGAGCCAGCTTTGGTTCCAAACACAAAGTTTCTCAGTGCTTGAGCGGGTTTGATTTTGTCTGAGGCACCTGTCTACAGCGGTGGGTGCCGTTACCTGTGCGGGCGGGAGGCGGCTTCTGGCTTAACTTTCTAGGGATGGGTTTTTTCTTACATTTGTTAGACCCAATGTCCTTTCCTTGAAATGGCAAATTGGTTTCTGATTCTGCAGGACCCTCAAACGCTGTAGCAAGTCTGGCAGATTCACAGCGACATGGGTAGGATTTGCCCTGCCTAGGTGTTCCTTGCCAACCTTGAGCGGGTGTTTAAAACACCTGTCCTGCCCCTTCAGACATGTTCCCTGTGTGTGGCGACTGTAGGAAGGAGAGCTCTGTCAGCTGGGTTTTGGTTCACTGGCTTTGGCTCCTTTAATTTTGGAGGTTCTAGCTTCAGTGCAGCCTCTTCGCAAAGGTTTCCCTCATGCAGGGACTCGTGGATCACCATTCTGGTCGAGCAAATCCAAGGGTAAAGAGCTGGGTGGGTACAAGAGGTTTGTTTTTGTAGTAGGTGCTTGTTTAACAACAGCATCAAAACCGTGTCTGTACTGTGGGAGCAGGCTGTTGATCTCCTTTTTCCTTCTGCCAAACCCAGTAACGTCGCTGTGTATTGTGGCTTCGCTCAGGAGCGGCGCGGAGGAGGGAAGCGCCTCGCACGCAGCACAGGGAGCTCTTGGGAGCACCAGGGAACGTGCTGGGTCGCCTCAGTCCCTGTTGGAGGCGGAACGGTGATGTAGAAGTCAGAGGCTGTCTGTCAGTTATCTGAGGCATTCATGGACTGGAGACCTCTTGGCAGAGAGGGGATCTGTTCAAAGAGGTTTTAAAGAGCTGCAAGAGCAACAGAAGCAACCAAGAATTACGTGTAGATTACATTGGTTAGGAGAAAACAGATGAAAAAACCCTGAAAACCTTCCATGACCTGTTTTCCAAGTTGCTTAGTGGGAAGGATATTTAACAAATAGTTAAAACCCAGCCAGGAGAGGAAGAACAGGTGACCTGAAGAAGTTCAAGATCCATTCTGTAACTTTGACCCCAAAAGACTGAAATCCCTGACAGATGCCGTCTGTGCTGGCACTGCAGCCCGCCCCGCCACAGTTGGCCTGGCTCTTCTCCGGCATAAGCAAGAGCAGAGCTCGGCCTCTCTGCACCACGCTTCAGCCTTTTCTTTTAGTGGCAGATGGTTAAAACCTTCCTGGCAGACTTTGCTGCCCATGGAGGTGGTCTGAGGCAGAAGGTTCCATGCCAGGGAATAAGGTGCTTTGCCCTCGCGCTTTCCAGCTCAGTGCCAGCCAGCCCAGCCCTGGCACTCCCCCCTCTCCTCTTGCTCGGCAGGACGGGGTGTTACCGTTGGCCCCTTGGGTTTTACTTCTGCAGCACCATCTCCATCTGCGGTGAAACCGTCTCCCTAAATCTGTACACAGCAGCCAAGTGGTGTAAATGAATTAAGATGAGCTTCGGAACGCATTCGTGTGTCACTGCAAGCATGCTTCATGCTGCAGAGGTGGGACAGTATTAACAGGAGCAGCCCAGAGTTCATCACGCACCTGCCTGCGGCCATCTGGATTTTCACAGCTCGGCAGATGTGGTGGGGTCCTTGCACGCTGTCAGGGACAGAAGATCCGGACAGAGAGTGGGACGCCCCCTTGAAGACAGAGAGTGGCGGCCAGTGTGAACAAATCGGGGATGGTCTTGTGTCCTGGGTTTCCCTGCACCGGAGGACTGGTTTCCCAGGCCGATGTCCTGGAAGAGAGACCCTCAGAAGTGTTCCAGTCTCCGAATTTGGGCTGACGGCCTTTTCTTCCTTCTCTTTTCTAATCTGGTGTGGTAACTTTCTACTACGTGTCTGAGAGTGATGAAAATCGTAGGAGGGAGAAGGGGCACTTCAGGTTATGTGGTTCTGATGTTTTCTCCGCTGCCGTGGGGCAGGAGGAGTCACTGCGGCACTCTGCGGGTGCCGGTGCCCGCGGCCGGGCAGCTCCGGTGCCCCGAGCACGCAGCCATGGGCAGCGCAGCCCCGTTAGTGCGGGTGGCCTGCGGAGAGGAGAGGAGAGGGGGAAGAAATGCAAATGCTGTCAGCCGTGGCGGCAGGGGGGAGCTGCTGTTACCACAGCTAAGTGCTGTTCATTGCAAAATCAATCTTGCACCCAGCACTGGGGTCGTTCTTCCCCCTCCCCAGCCTCGTGCTGGCGGGAGCTGCGCTCCAGGCAGTGGGTGAGCACCAGTTGGGCAGTAATTGCTGTGGAATTAACCTCTGACATTCTTCTAAAAATAGGCCCAATAAATCCAATCATTAGCAGCTCTCCTGCTTGCTTTGCCTCAAGGGTAAACACTGCAGATTAAAGCATTTACAAGTTACAGGTCCCTGAGCATTTCCCCGCTTCTCCCCGTTACTGCAGTGAACCCCGTCCCTGCTCAGGGGCTTTGCTCCTGGTCTGCGGGGAGGGAGAGCGGCGCAAGCGTGGTGGCTTTGGGGTGACAGAGGGCGGAGAGGCCTCGCTTTCATTTACCTTGATAGACGATGGGAGATTCAGCAACAGCCAGTGGAAAGTGGCCGAGCTGTTGGGGTCACCCAGGCTGCTCTGCCTGGGGAGTTCTGCCGAAGAATACAAAGGTGCCTTCATCTGCCAGGGGCGAAGGGAAACAGGGAAACCACCTCCCCGAGCGTTGGAGAGGGGGAGCAGAAGAGCCGGGCAGGAGTGAAGCCTGCCCCTTGCCTGGCCGAGGTGCTGGGGTGGCACCGAGCCCTCCCCAGGTCCCGGGAATCAATCGCATCCTCCGAAGTGATGGGCGCAGCTCCCCGGGACGTGAAGGGAGTGTGCCGTGCCGTGCCATGCCGTGCCGTGCCGTGCTGTGCCATGTCATGGTGTGCTGTGCTGCGCCACGCCGAGCCACCCAGGTCCACACCCCTGCTGCCCGCAGCGGTCCCCAGGCTGCGCTGGGCACAGGAGCAGCAGGGAGATGGAAACTCCCCTGAATCTGGCCGCCGGGGTGCAGGCCAGACCAAGGGGGCAGGAGTGCCAAGCAAAGTTCCAAAATGCTGTGGCCATTATTATTATAAACAATAGAGAAAGGGAGATTTATGGAGATCCCACAGGGGACAAAGCGCTGACAAGGCGTGTAGCTGTACAGGGAATGGCGCTTCCTAGAGGCCTGTGAAAGGCAGTCTGCGGTGACTTAAATTGTCTTTGTCTTCTTCTTTCCAGCTGACATCATCTCTACAGTAGAATTCAACCACACTGGAGAATTACTAGCGACAGGGGACAAGGGGGGCCGTGTTGTAATATTTCAGCGTGAGCAGGAGGTGAGTGCCAGTGAATGCAAAATGCCCATTTGATCCTTTTAGGAGAAGCTTCCTGCTGTTTCCTAATCACTCTGTGTCACTCCTAACCTCAGGCCTCTCCTGGCAGACTCCAAACTGAAAAGCAACCATTAACATAAGCAGAACTAGATTACGTGTTGTAAAACAGCCTCCAAACCACATTGCATTTCCCACATCCTTTTGCTCTGCCTGCAGCTCTCTGCAGCCGGGTGTAACTTGTCCATCTCATAGCTAACAGCACCCGAAAAAACCCTCCCACACCGCCAGGATGTCTGGAAATCACGTTTCCCTTCTGAAATGCTTTGCCCCAGGACATTTTAACAAACCCTCTGTTGGAGCCTCCGGGTGAGGATCTGCCACAGGAGGGGCGAGTGCTCAGCCGCTGGGCCGGGGCATCTGCGCTGGCGTGCCCAGAGCCGGCCTGGCCCACGGGAGCTGCATGGCCCCAGGAGGTTCCCGCTGCTTCTGGAGCCATCCTGGTTAGCTGGTCCCGGTTAGTTGGTCCCGGTTAGCTGGCTCCCGGTGGGAGCCGTCTGCCCCGGGGGGTGTTTTCTCATGGTGGGAGGGATGAGTCAGGCCTGGCCATGAAAAATGTCACAGTCCAGTGGCTCTTTTAAATTTTTGTCAAAGTTACAGCCTCAAAATTGTTTCTGTATACGCTGGAGAGAACCAATCGGTTAAAGGTTACATGCAGAGATGCTTCATCAACCTTTCCAGCAATATTTCACTTCTCATTTTATTATTCTACTGCTTTTCCTGAACTTTAAGCCTCTGAGCATCTCACCGGGTGTATTCTGTGCAGCTTCCACTTTGGAGCAGCGCCATGCTCCAGGGGACAAGCGGCACTTCACCAACCCAAACACTTCATTTGCATGTGGGAAGTTCACCTCCATGATAGTTTTCCTTTCAGTACGCAGCCCCGTCCGCAGCCCGGTGCTGGGCGGTTCACCGGGTGGGATTTGCAGGTACACGATACCGCACAAGTCCGAGCGCTGGGCCGTGGCACGTGGCGCCAGTTCCTGCACAGATCATGTCCTTTTCTTGGTTGTGTTACTCCTGCTTTGTATGTGTGCACCTGTGGGGCCAACGCTGCTCCCCCCCTGCTGGTGCTGTGTGGCCGGCTGCTCCTCGGGGGATGCTTTCACTGCCCGGCATGAACTGCCGCTCGGTCCCAGCTGCTCACGGGGATGCCAGCATGGTGGGCTCCATCCCCGCTCTGTCCCTGCTCCGTCCCAGCTGCTCACGGGGATGCCAGCACGGTGGGCTCCATCCCCGCTCTGTCCCTGCTCCAATCCTGCTCCATCCCCGCTCCATCCCTGCTCCAGTCCTGCTCCGTCCCCACTCTGTCCCTGCCGATCACAGCAGCGTGTGGGGTCGCTGGGCCGCGGGAGGCCGTGCCGGGGGCTCAGACCCGTGCTGCCTCACCGCAGCCAGGCACTCACTGTCACTTAACAAACCTTAGAGAACCAGAGAGCCAACACAAAATGTTCCCTTGCTCCATGTGCCTTAACTTCCCCCTGTTCCCTTCCCTGCAGAGCAAAAACCAGCCCCATCGCAGGGGAGAGTACAATGTCTACAGCACCTTCCAGAGCCATGAGCCGGAGTTCGATTACCTGAAGAGTTTGGAGATAGAGGAGAAGATCAATAAGATACGATGGCTCCCGCAGCAGAACGCAGCCTATTTCCTGCTCTCCACCAACGGTACGTGGCGGCAGCCGTGGGCAGCCCGGGCCAGCTTGGCACACACCAGCACTGCCATCCCACGGCCCCACAGCCAGACGGGGCCTTCTCTGTGTGTTTCTGTGGGGAAAATACACGTTAAAAACCCATCGGTAACACAGGTGTCACGGGGGAGCAGGATCAGGCCCAGCACTGTCTGGCTGAGCTCGATTCCCGCACACGAGGTTTTGTCCTTATTTCACAGCAGCCTCACAGCAAGGGAGGGAGCCTTTTCCCCTGCTGACAACTTTAATTTTTTATTTTTTGGATCCTAAGAACTCTTTTTTTAAAAAAAGAAAAACTGCAGCAGATTTGTTTCAATTTGCAGCTGTGTTCAGCTCAGCAGTTCCATGTTATGTTCAGATAAATATCAGGAGGATCCAGGAGTATTACTTGGGATGAATGGGACCTTAAGATGGATGTGACTTAATTACTTCAGGGGAAAAGGAGGGGTCTAATTATCTTCCGTAACCAACTTACTTTGTATTATAGAATTGACTCTATTGATCATTGTAATAAAATTCAAAGACTTATTAAACTCATTTGGGGGAAGAATCATTGAAATGCAATGAAGATTAATTATAGAGCATAATGTTCTGTTAATTGAGTTTTTAAATAGTTTTTTGATTAACAGGGATATTATCTTTCCATTTGGGATGGTGTTTCATAAGCTAGCAGGTTATCAAAATGATTCTTTTAGAAATACTCCCGTGTTATGCTGTTTCTTTTTGTTGTTCCTGTTAAACTAACAGTATATATAGAAACCCTCTGAAATGAAGCGGGTTAATAAAAACAGAATTAATGGCACTCGGTTGGAATTGCTGTGTAAAGGAGAAAATGAAGATGGATGATACGGTTGTATATGAAACCTGGTGGAAGTGATGATAAACTACTGATAGAGTCTCTGCCAGGAGACTCGAAAGAAAACACCATTATTCAGAATAAAGCCAGGCGTTCCTGGGGCTCGGTGGCTCTGGGCAGGTGGGACGCCAGGAGGGGACAGGGAGCCATGGGGGCAGTGTGGAGCTGCCTTTGGCCCGCGGTGAGTGCTGGGCTCTGCGCAGCCGCTGGTGGGGAAGGTCAGGGTGACGTCTGATGTTTTAGGCACCATTACACCCCCCTGGGGGAGCGTCCAGGGGCCATGTGCCTCCAGGCGCACTCCGATCCTCCGCCTGCTGCCGCCCCAGCTGCCTTGCCGGGACCTGGAGTCTCCCAGAGCTCTGCCCCGCTTGCTGCACACTGGGTTTCTGCAGGAACTCCACCAGAACCAAAAGTATCATCTACCTTGTGGCAGCCTGTGCCTGATGAGTTTTAAAGCTGTGCAGAGGTCCCAGTGCCTGCTGCTGGCACGGGCGCTGCTGCACCCCGACACCTGCGGGGTGACACCCAGCTGGAGTCACCCCCAGTGTCCCCGTCCCTCCTTCCCTGCTGCCGGAGGGGCTGGTCTGGGGCTGGGGGTCAGCGGGGATGGCCAAGGGGTGTTTGCAGAGCGAGGGTCAAAGAGGAGAAAGGGAGCAGCTAGCAGGGACAGAATTAGGAGAGCTGGTGCTTCCTTCGTATTTAACACATTTCCAGTTATTAGAAGCTGAATTACTTTAGAAATTCCTATTGGAAAGTAACCGGTGTCCCCCAGGTGACTGCTGCATGAGCTGGGAACTGTAGGAGGAAAAATCTTAGGTGGCAATCTGCTCTGGGCTGGGTGTGCAGGTGCGGGGCAGGGGGGGGGGCATGTCTGTGTGTGCACAAGCGTGTGCACGTGTCAGGGAGGAGCAGAGCAGCATGTGTGGCACTGGCCCCTCACCAGGACCTGGGGTTCGGCTGCTCCCGGTGCCAGCACCTCGTCACCTCCTCTGGGCAGAACTCGGCCCCGTCAGTGGGTAGATCAAACGCCAACGTTCAGGGCCTGAGCCCTGGGGCATCACTTCCTCTCTTGGTTCTCCATTAGTCCAGGAGTTCTGTTCTGTTGTTCAACATCTCCTTACATGGGGCGTAACTGCACCAGCACTTGTCTGGCAGCAACAGGAAAACCGGGGCTGGGGGATAAAGTGCTGTGGTGAGAGGTACCTCTGTGGCCCCTTCGCGCGCGCGGCTGGCGGGGACACAGCAGATTTCTCACCGTCATAAACCGTCCGGCCTCGGTGTGTCGGTCAGCGGTGGCTGGGGGGCAGCCGGCTGTAACGTCTCCTCTCTCCTGTCCCCAGATAAGACTGTGAAGCTATGGAAGGTCAGCGAGCGGGACAAGAGGCCGGAGGGATACAATCTCAAGGATGAGGACGGCCGCCTCCGAGACCCCTCCATGATCACCATGCTACGGGTGAGTGCGGGGAGACCGAGGCTGCCGGGAGCCTTCCTCTTCAGGCTCTGGGATGAAAATGGCTGCTGGTGTCGCCTGCGTGCCGCGGTACCAGTAACACCCCGCCGACGCGGTAGGGCGATGATGGAGGGCAGCACTTGCTCCTTGTTTTGGAGGCCAGTGCTTTGCCTGGTGTGTGGGTGTGGGAGCTGCCGCCGGGGTGGTGCTGGTCCTGGGCCGGTGTGTCACGAGGCGCCGCGTTTGGGCTCGTGGCAGGTACCCCTGTGCCGCCCTGCACCGCCGTGCGTGCCCCGTGCCCTGCGTGCCCCATGTCCTGTGTGCCCCGTGCCCTGTGTCCCCCGTGCGCTGTGTGCCCAACGGGCGAGGTGGCGGTGAACAAGCTCTCCCTTCTTAGTGTGTTTGCAAGCACAACTCCTGCTTCAGGAGCATAAGTACTTCCTCTAAATGAGTTTTCCTCCCAGCGTAAGGAGATTAAAATCAGCCTCCCAAATCAAATGCAAACACCTAAGGCTTCATTTCCCATCTCCTGCAGGGGGAGGGATGCCCAGACCCCATTAACGCAGCCGCCCCTGCGCCCTGGGAGCGCGTCCCTCGGGCATGGTAGCGCCCGTCTGCTGGGCATCGCTTTGCCGCCTGGGCAGCTGCCTGCACCTGCTCTTCCCAGGCTGCCCTGGGATAGCTCTTTATGATCTTTAATTTGCATATAAAGTGCCTGCTCTGGCCTGAGGTGCTACGTGCCCTGGTAATTCAATCAGAGCTCACCTCGTGCCCCAGCAGCTCCGGCAGCGGGTGCAGCAGCGGGTGCAGCAGCGCTGGAGAGCTCGAGCGCGTGGGCTCCAGCAGCGAGCGGGGAGAAGCCGTGCTCCCCACCGCCTGGTGCTAGAGCAGGGAGACAGTACCGGCTTTAACCCACGGGCCTGGAAGTGTCAAGTGTGCAGGAATTTTGTCATGACATTAATCAGACTAAAGCAGCTTGTAATTTATTAACATCCTGACAGAATTTGCATTTTGAGCACTTGGTGGGTTTATATTTATATATACAAAATTGTTGCTACGATTACCCTTGGCTCATTCTCTGGCTTCCAGTTCCATTGGAGATGAAGCCATTGAGAACCCCGGACAGGTAGTTAATTCTCTCGTGCTGAGTTGTTCCTGGTGGCTGGCAGGCATTTTTCTTTACTGAGGAAGAAAACATTTTATTTCATGTATCCGTGTATCTGCTGTCATGTTTCAGGCAGCATTTCCAGCCTGGTACGTGTTACTTAGAGAGCCCGTTGGAGGAGCTTGCTCAGCATCTGCTTGTCAGTGCTGGGTTGTTGGTGCTCTGAGGGCTCGGCGGTGTAAGGGCTGTTACTCCAGGTAGCGCTTCCTCCTTGGTGTAAACGCGCTGGAAAGGCCCTGGTCTTCCTGAGGAAACGCAGGTCACTGTTTTGCCTAAATCTGCCATCGCGGTGCCGGTGCCAAGCTCCGCTGCGGTCGCCTGTCGGTGTCAGTCCTGTGCCTGGGGGCACCTGAGCACCCCAGCACTGCTGGAACCACCCAAAACAGCAAATGCAAGGTCAGCATTCTCAAAGGACCAATTTCTGAATGCTGATTTATTTTTATTTCTAGTCTGTTCTTTAAGAACATTGAATTTCTGGAGGAGGTGAACTAACTCAAGAGTCCAGGATAAATGTGATGCGTATTTCTCTTCTTTCCCAACACAAACTGTAGCAAAACTGCCAAAAAAATCAGTATAACCTCTTAAGCAAAATACTTAATTATGGGAACACTGAGTTTTGAAATGAAACTTTTTAACCTTTTGAAAATGCATTTTTATCTGTTGGATTGACCCAGCTGTCAGCTCTGTAGGCGTCACGACATCTGCCTCACCTGCAGTGGCCGCAACCGGGTCAGAACCCAGGCTGGGCAGCGGGGGGAGCGCGGGGGGACGTGCACCACCTTGCATGGGCAAGGGGAGGCCACGAGGAGCACGGCGGGTGGCCCTGGCTGGGTGGCACCGCGTCCTCCCCTGCTCACGGTGCCGGCTCTGCTGCCCTCCCCACGGCACAGCTCATGTGGGCTCTGTGGTGCCGTGTGTGCCGGGCGGCAGACCGCTGTCACGTACCTGCTCTTCCTCCTCCTCTTACCCGTGCCGCTGGGTGGGCAGAGGAGCCAGCCCGTGGGGGTGGCACAGGTGGATGCAGGAGGGCCGAGCTGGCGGGTTGGGCTCCCATCCCGGACCCACCTCTGTGCCCCCCGTCTGCTCCCACCATGCCAACGGGCAGCAGCTGCCAGTCGGCCGGAGCCTGCGCTGAGGCACACGGGTGGTGTGGTTATGGCAATAAATAATCGTTGTGCTTATCTTTGCTATTGATTGTTGGCACGAGCTGGTGACGTTTGACCACATACTGGCCCTTGAATTGGCGGAAGTGGAGCTTAAAACCAACCCGGCTGTTTCTGGAAGTGCTCAGCCTGAAGTCACACCATCCAGCCCGTCCGGCCATCACCGCTGGTGCCCGGCGGGGCGTCTCCGAGGAGGGGCAGGGATGCCGAGGTGCTGCTGGCGCAGCCAGTGCCAGGCCCAGCCCTGGGCAGCGCGGTGCCGGGGGTGTCCTGGGAACAGGGGCAGGGGCAGCCGGCCAGTCCCACCGGGCACCCCCCTGCCCTGTCCCTGCTCACCCTGGAGTGCCCCTGCCCTGCCGGGGTGGATGGAGTTTGCTCAGGAAGGAGGGAACTGGGATTTTTTTTTTTTCCCTGTGAAAAGTCACACTGGAATATCAGAGAACTGGGCACTCTTTACTGGAGTCTGCTGTCTGCCTCAAAAGTTTCAGCCTTGGTTTTACTTTCATTCCATTTATTCCTGGCAGCAGCTTGGCGCCCTGCGGCTGGAGGAGTTTGGTACTTGGGTGTCTGCCCTCCTGCTGTGAGATAAGACTGCAATTCGGCTGCTCCTGCTTCACGGAGCGGGAAGGGGTAAAACACGATGTAAGTGCTCAGTAGATGGTTATTGGTCTCTGCCTGCACAACGCCTGCTGTCCCTGAGGGCGGAAGATTGAGGAGTCTTCCACCAGCCCCGCTTTGATGGAACGTTTTGATGATTTTGCTCAGACAGATATTTACATAGCTGTAACCATTTTGCTGCAGCTTGGTGTATCTTTGACATTTAATTGTCCTATGATGCTTGTACTTTGGAGTAAAGCCGCATCCGTCCACAGTTTAATTTTCAACCACAGACAAGCAAAAAGGTTTTAAAACCACCTTGCTGCAATCATCTCTTACCTATTCGTCGTAATGGTTTAGATGTACTTGATGAGCATTGTTCTCTGAGGAATTTCTAACCCACATAGTGCAAAAGGCATATTTATCTCCGCTCAGACTGTAAAGTAAGGCTCCTGCAGTTGTTAGAAGAGCTCTGCTGTTAGGATACCCCCAGTCCAATAGCTCCAGCCCTTTGGCCTCACTTAACGGCCCCCGCGAGCTCTTGAGTGCCGCGCAGCGTACGGCCGTACCTACGCTGTGGGTTGTGTACAGGAAACCACACTAATAATATCCAGGGCTTAAACCTTTCTGAATCGAGAGTGTGTTTGCTTTGATTCCTCACAGCTCGTGTCAGGCTGCGGTGAAACACCCGTGAAACACCCGGAGGCACCCGGGTGCTGTGTGTGCAGTGGGGCGCTGATGTGCCTCTGGTGAGCGGAACGAGGGAACTGGCCAGGGGGCAGCTCCTGGGCCTCCCTCTGCTCTAGAGAGGGGTGATCTTGACCTTGTTCGTTTAAGGAGAAGGAGCAGGAGCGGGCTGTGCCGCCAGCGCTACCTCGGCACGTAACGCCTGAGCTCGGAGCGCCGCGGGGCCGGCCGCCTGCCTCCCGACCTGCCGGGCCGAGGCTGCTGCTGGGGAAGGGTCTCGTATCAGGGCTCTGCGCGTTCTCAAGCCAGTCCGGGGTTTCTTACTCCACCACGTCCCTGCTCCTGAGTTACGTCTGCAACAGGGGGAGCAGCCGGGGCTCCCCGGGGCTGGCGGCTGGCAGGGCTCTGGCCGGGGGCTCTTGGGGGGCTGCTGCTGCCTCCCTTCCTCTGTCCCAGGGAGACCCAGGGGAGCACAGGTACCATTTGGGAGCAGCTTTCCCTGCCCTGGGCAGCCGATCCCTGCTTCGAGCACTTGAGAATGTTGGTGAATAAGGAAGCAGCCTGGAGACTGGCTGTGTGCACCCAGTGAGCTGGGGGAAGGGTGGGCTTGGTTGTATCCTTCTCCAAAGCATTATCATTTAAATGACAAGGTAATGTGAAACATTTGGCTTTTTTTGGCTATAAAACGCACATGGCAGAACTAATCAATTCCAAATGATCGTCATCAAACCGTTGCTACAGAAATGAAAAGAAAAAAAAGGTTTTTCCCATTTTCCTTAGTTGCTTACATTGCTCTAAAGCAACTTGGAGTGTAATGTGTGTGTGCTCGCCTGCCCTTGGTGGCCTGGCCCCGTGCTGTGCCAGGCTGTGCCATGCCATCCCGTGCTGTGCTGTCTGTGCCATGCCGTGCTGTGCTGTGCCATGCCATCCGTGCCATGCCATGCCATGCTGTCCATGCCATGCCGTGCCGTGCCAGCTCAGGAAGACGCCATGCTGGTCTGAGATGTGCTGGGGACCTGCAGGCTGCAAGAGCTGGGGGGTCTGTCATTTTTGTCCCTCTGGAAGCAATACCTTGTGTGAAGAGGGCAAGGCTTGGCTCAGTCTCCCAGCGAGGCACGGCCAGTCGGCAGGGCTCGGGCTCTGAAGTCACCGTGCCAGTTGTAGTGGTTCTCCAGGGAATCTCCCTCCGCCAAGCCCACGGCAGCACCCGGCCTGCCCGTGTGCCCTGGGTGCACCTCGGCTTGCTTCATTCTGTAGAACATGAAAAAAAATGGAGGAGCCTGTTTTGCCACTGCTTTTCTCATTTTTTTGTTTTTCCCAGGTCATGAGCTGAATTCTTTCTTTTCTGATGAAAACTCATTATTTATCCTTTCAGTATTTGTGAACTTGCCTTGAAATGCTGATGACCAGAGTTGACCTTTCAGATTTTTTTTCTCTTTTTCCACAGCAATTACACTGCTGGTATCTGTGTCTAGACATACTGTAAAAACAATGCGCTGGGCAGAATTACCAGCCGGGTTTGGATTGCTCTGAGTGTTTGGTAACATGACTGTGCTTCCACACACTTCCCCCAGGAAAAGGAGGAAAATTGTAAACGGCCCTGTGGGATTTCACTGACACCAGCTCTTTTTCAGTGGGAGAAATAAGTTAAAAAATATTTTTTCAAACAATTACTTCCTCAGTTCTAATGAGATTGGCACAAAGACTTCAGGATTTTTAACTTCAGATAAGAAAAATGTTCTGTTTGTTTTTTGAGGTTTCTGCAGATTTATTTCAGAATTTAGGTACAGATGGTGAAAGTAATCAGGGAGTGTAATAACTGAACTAGGACAAATTCTCAGTTACAAACAAAAAAAATCCTATTGTGCTATAAAAATATACAAAGAATGGGAAATCTGGGCTGCTTTGGGCTGTATGTGGAGCATCACTTGCAGTCAATGCTCAGCCGGGCACTCAAACCCCTCCGTGAACGGGCCCTGTCTTTGGGGACGTTTGTGTGGGCCCCAGCAGCCCCGCAGAGGGACTGGCGTCAGGCTTTATCCCTGTGCCTCGGTGCTGGTGGGGCAGACACTCCTGTGACCCCCTCCCCGCTGTGGCTGGGCCCTGCTGCCCGCAAAGGGCTCTCGTCTCTGCTGGGGCACCCGGCTGGGGACAGAAGGACACTGGTGAAATAAGGCTCAGAAACAGGCCCCAGGAGCGGTGCTGGTGTGGTGCTTGGCAGGGAGGGACACATCAGTGGAGGGGAGATGAAACCAGAAGCTCTATCACCTACACGGCCTGGAAGTGAGAGCAGGTTTATCCTCCCGCAGGACTGTGCCGTCCACACTTCGCAGGAACGATCCGATCAGACAAAATCCTGACAGGAAATTGTCAGCCTGCCATGAAAACAGTGTTGGATGCACATTTTGTCTGCAAACTATTACCTGCAGGCAGCGTTGGCCAGTTGCAGAATGTGACTCGTGTAGGTGAGACCTGCGTGTCGGGGAGCACCCGGGGGAGCTGGGCGCTGGAGCGGGCGCAGAGCCCTGCCGCGTTGCCCCCGAGCAGCTGGCCCTGCTCTCCCCTGTGCCAGGAGCTCCGTTACATTTTCCTTCTTACAAACCCAGGGTCAGGTTAGTCCGGGTTCCAGCTGTGACTAACCATGCTTGGCCGAATCCTGCCGGCTCGCCGGGGCCTGGGCTTTCTCCTCGTGAGCCAGCCCTGTCCTATTCCTCCCTTTAGGAGATTTTGGCCCCCGGCGCATCCCGTGCGGGTCCCCGGCAGCGCTCTCCCTTGTGTGGTGGTTGTGGCCCATCCCACTGCGGGGCTGTGCTGGGGGCGTCCTGTCCCCCGTCCGACCCTGGCAGTGGCAGCTCAAACCCGGCACACCTCGGGCTCGGGGGGTGGTGTGAGGCCTTCATCTTTTTTCCCTGTGTATTGACTTGTGTCTTGAAAACCTCTGGGCAGAAATGCTGAACCTCTGCATCTCCTCAGGCTGCCTCCACCACAGCGCTGTAAATGGTGAGGAGAAGCTCTGCCAGGTGAAGCTTTTCCCCGTAGGAGCAGGGAACATTTGGTGACAGTCGATACGATGGACAAGGAAAGGGGGAAACCTGGTGGGAACAGGGGGCAGAGCAGCGAAGCGACAGCAATTCCTGACATTGCGTTCCCTGCGCCGTGGTCCCGCGCTCGGGGAGGCGGCTAGAGGCCATGGAGCACCCGTGGGGAGAAGGGGCCAGGGCACGCCAGCTCCCTCCACCCCCCAGCCACTCAGAAAATGAATTTTACAGTCCAGGGGGGGATGAGTGCCTCATTAACCCAGGGAAGGGGAAGCCTCCACCAGGCAAGGAGAGAGGAATCGAGTCTGCGCTTTGAGTGAGTGGGACTGGCTCTTTTGCAGGGGGTGCCTGCTGGAGGCAGGAGGAAAAATTAAGACATACTTTGTTTTAAATGAAAAATGACTGGCATTCCCCCCCCTCCCTGAAAACATAAAGTAATTTAATTTATTAGTGGTTTATTTTGTTTGACAGCCTTTCTATGTACTTGATGCGGTTTGTTACACTGAATTACCCTTTAATAATGGGTGTGTATAATCCCAGAGCCTGCCCTGCAGGTTGGCTCTGTAATTGAAGAAGGGATGCGCTGGGGAGGTCTCTGTGCTGGTGGGGATTGCCATAGCAGTGCTGGTGGGAGCCGGGGGCTTTATGCAGATGCTGACTGGGACTCTGCCTGCTTGGAAAAAAAAGACAAGTTTCAGCCACTGTCACATTGCCCCATTTGTTGGGCACTTTCTTCTCACTCTCACTGGTCGCTGCCACCCTGAGCCTCTCCTGCATTCTCCCCCCGGGCTCGGAGGGGTCCGGGGGGTCTTCCCCAGACCACCCTTTCTTGTCCTGTAACGCGGGTGTCTGCCAGCCGCGGGGATGGGCCCCGGGGCGCTGGGGGTTCCTGCGCTGGGCAGGAGGCGGCCGAGAACAGGCCGGTGCCCGCACTGGGGTCGAGCCGTCGCCACAGACTCACATCGGCTCCCCTGCGTGATGTGCTTCCAGCCGCTTCAGGGCAGGCGTCAGCGGAGAAGAGATTAAACCCAGGCAGGGGCTCAGCCTGTGCTGGGCGCCTGCTCCCCTTGGCCGTCCTGACCCAGGGTTTGCCTTCTGCCTCAAGATTTCTGCTGTTGTGGGACGAGATCCCTGGGCCAGTCTGTGCTCCCAGCACATTTCTTGCTGCTCCTGCCACAAAATGTCAACGCTTTCAGGTTTAAATACTCATTGTTGATAAACTTGAGTGTAACCGTGCGGCACGTGGTAAGGAGGGGCGTGGGCACTTGCTGTTTTCCATATTCCAGGGCAGATTCTTGCCACCGTAGCAGATAAAAAATCCTGCCTTAACAGAATACTCTCAGATGACCAGGTTTGTTCCTCTCATGGGGTTTTACCTGGTGATAGACCAAGTTCCAGACATAAATAATGCCCCAGAGTTCGGCTCTGGAATACCATGTGGGGGATTTTCTTGGCTGAAGAGTTGATCTTAGCTCTGTGAGTTGCTGCCATACACGAACTGGGCAGGGAGCTGTGCTGGGGTGCTGGAGCTTGCTCTGGCTCGGACCTGGGTAGCCCTGGTTGCTTTGCACTGCCGGACTGGGGCCAGTCCTGGGGCTGGACCACGAGGCCACACAGCCTCATCTCGCTGAGTGAAGTCCTCTGCCGAACCCTTTGCTGTACTTATTTTTGTGCCCGGCAAGGCCTGGTGTAGCCGTTGAACCCCTTCCCCTTGCACAGCCGTCACGTTTCCGACAGCCACGGTGACAGCCCAGTTCTAATCGCCGAGCGCAGCGCAAGGCTCCGTCCCCAGATGGCTGGGCAGAGTCCTCCAGCACAGACGCTGCATCGCTGGCTCTGTCAGGCGGAATTAGCAGGCAGGCTCGTCACATTACGCTCAGGCCCTGAGCTGGCAGCCCCTGTGCTCCAGTGTCACTCGAGCTGGCTGTCACACTCCCGTCCCCACCTCTGCAGCCATGGGAAGTCTCTTTGGGCAGCGCACACAGTGTACACAGTAATGAAGTTGCTTGAGGGAAGAGCTTTCTGGCAGCATGGGCTGACACCTTGCTAGTGCGTTCAGTTGCCTCAGGAGCGCTCTGTCTGGAGTTACTACGTACGCTGCTCCTTGCACACGCTGTTGGTACCGCAGCTCGCCGTCCCCCGGTGTTTATGCTTATTCATCTAAAGGCAAACGTGTAGCTCTGTTTCTAGTCCCTCCATCTGTCCCTGGCCTGTGCGTTCCCTTTCCCTGTCTCATCTCTTACCTCCATCACTTTGCTGTGAAGCAAACGCAAAAATGTTAAAAGAAAAATCTGTGCTGACCTGACTCTTGCAAGAAACATATTTCTGTTAGAAACGCTCCAGGAATTTCCGATTCCTGTTAACAGTGACAATACAAGGCAGAAGTGGGTTGGTTTTTTTCTTTTCAAAGAAGGAACACTTGCGGCAGCAGAGCTCTGCGCCTGGTTTGATGGGCTGTCGCTGCCTCCCCGCAGTCCTGGTGCCGCTCTCAAGTGTCGAAGGCGTCCATACCTGCCCATCCTCCTGCTCACGCCCTGAGCGAGGCGTTGGCTTCCCGGGCGGGACGTGGGGGACGGGGCGCAGCGCTGCCAGCCGGGGCTGTGGGGTGCCCCTGTGCAGGGTGCTGGCGTGGGGCGGG